ATGGCAGCAGCTATTTGAATGTTAATGGGTCCAGGGATTCCAAGTGGACCAGTCACCAGCCTCATGGTAGAGTAAACACTGCCATTAAAGTATAATCATACCAGAAGAGGAGGAGGAAGGTGAGTTGCCAGGAATAGCAGACCTGAATCATCCAGGATGTTCCTGCAGCAGCACATGGCCAGTGATAGATCACAGCAGGATTCACAAAAAGCACCAAAATGTTGCAAGAAAGGAAATGCCTTGCTGTCTACAAACAGAAATGCGATTCAACAGGGAGTCAGGGTTGCTGGTGACGTAAAACAGCTCTTGGAGGACAGAAGGGAAGACTTTCTGTTTTGGATAGGTTTGGATGGTTGAATGAAAGAGGAAGAGCTCCAGCTAGAGCTACCGTGTGTCCTGAGTTTGGGACCCCACCATCTTATCCAGAGGTAACTCTTCTTAGTGTTGCTGTAAGTCCACTACCTTTTCTAACATAGTCTTCCTTGGGAAATTGTCCTGCTCCCATGTTTATAATGAATTCCCCTCACCTGTCCTCCTAGTGTACCCTATATTATCTTTAATGTAAAGGTTTTCTGAAACTTTAAAAAGCTACACATTCGTCCTGGGCTATCTATAGTACACCAGCATTAGTATGATGTAGAATATAATACAACTGATATTATTGGTGGTGGTGGTAGTGGCGGTGGTGGTATAAAAAATATTATGGTGATCCGAGGATCAGGATCATATCACTGTGTCTGAGAATTAGGAAGAATATGAAAAATAGATGGATCCTGAGCTTTTAGGAAAAGTTTTTTATAAAAATAGCAAGAGAAGTTTGGTGGATGTAAGCAGCTTCTTTAACCACATTTCTACATGGAAAATTGGCACTGTAGAAATTAGTGAACTTTCTACTTACAAAGCAAACAGTTTTGCTTCTTATTGTTTGCGATAGCTCAGGACCTGGAAAGCCCTTTAATTATTATAACTCAATCATGTTATGTACTGGACACAAAGTACAGAAGCATTATAAAGTAATCTAAATGTTTACACAACTGCAGAACATTAGACAAGTGGAAAAAATCATGCTAATTTTCATGAGAGCTGTGATACAGCAACAATGCTGCATCTCAAGACCAGGTCGTTAAGGAAAGCAGTCTGCGTTGAAAAAGAGTACTAGAAAAGTAGTCTGTGAATACATGGTGTGTATGCTTGTTGCAACAGGAAAGAGAAAACCATCTGTTGTCAAACAAAACTTTAAATATTACTTTCTTCCCCCTTGTGTTGTTTTTGCAGCCCAAGTGGCATTCTCAAAATGAATGTCAGTCCCACAGAAGTAAAGTCTGTTCTGGACAGTTTGTTATACGTCTATAATCAAGAAAGGGAGAAGAAAGCATATCTTAATTTTACAAACCCATACATTGTGGAACAGGAGGAGATTGCTGCTTGTCTATACATCCTGATTATTGTCGGGTTTTTTGGCTTCCTCCTCTTTTCCCTGATGATCAGCAATATAGCTTCCAGGCAGCGGGAAAATTACATGGACTATCTATACCAAGAGAGATTTCCAAGAGACGTAAGACCACCTTGCTACAAAAGTGTTCTGGCAGAGGGCAGCAAGAATGCCAGGGCAGAGCCTAGCACTACTGGACGGTGCCAGAAGACGGAGCGCGGCGCAGCAGCGGAGGCCCCAAGCATCGAGTCGGTGCTGAGGAATGTATGAAAGCAGCCCACGTGCACAGCCTGAAGGCTTATTTCTAACCGTAGCTGATTCAGTTGCCCACTGGAGCATGGGGCTCAGATAGTACCAGCCTGGACCACTTCCTAATCAGCCTCTTCTCATGCAAGCTTCCCACTCACAGTGGATAAAAGAGCTGTACATTTCAGAGTGGCACAATAACTTTCCTCTTCCAGCCCAGAATTTCCCGACAAGAGGCCAAACTCACACCCACACTTGGGTGATTCTTCATCCTATCCTTTTATAATGTCATTCATGGAAAAAGGAAAACACCACCCTCCTGGGGTTTTCCACTGTGCTCTTGTGGAAACATTTGTTTTCTTAGCAAAGACCTATGGGCAGGCATCCTCTTTTTCTCCTTGGCATTAAGATTTCAGGTTTGCTTATTTTTCTTAATGTTTAGAACTGATAACAATGCTCAAAGTGTAAAGGTAAAGGCCAGCAGCCTGTACTAGGACATGTCTCAGAGAGGGATGTGTGACACTAGAAGACTCGTTCCATCCAAACCTGACAGACTTTCAACACATTTCTGACCTGGTGGCCAAGAGCATGCTGAGTCAGAGCTTTCTGTTTGGCAAAATGACTTGAAATATTTGCACAAATTTGAGCCAACATGTTTCTAGTGCAATAATTTGTACAAATTGTGTCCATTTGCACAATTGCAGAGCAGAGGCTCGTATTTTATGCCAGTGTCCCAGGTTTTTAAAAACATGCATAATCACAGCCTGCTTTAAAACAGAAATCTGTGTGTAGGGTTAGTTTGTGTCAGATCAAGTGGGCACCAGTGTAATTCTGATGGAACAGAATTCATGGCACCAAGCTGAGAAAATCCACTGGATTCCCCCTACACACACATCAGATTCTTCACACATTTGTAGTTTCAGGCATTGAGGGAAATGGAAGGACATGACTACATTAGAACAAAGGCTGCAATAAAGCAGTTTCTTTCTACCATGTCTTTAAAATAAGACTTTTGGAATCACTGAAACACAAGACATAATTATGTAATAGAATTTCCTGACCCATCATTGACTTAGATCCTTATCAAAAGATGTCTTTGATGTCTTCCAAACAAGGTTAAACAAGTTTGTGGAGGATCATTCTATCAATAGTTCTTAGTTATGATACCTGTGATTCTGTACCACTTCTCAACTTGAAGATTCTGTTTAGCTATCATAGGTTCAAAGGTACATTGGAAATTGTTTGGTCCAAAACCCAGGGCAGACTCTGCACTGTGTAATGCCTGGGGCATTCCTAACAGATGGCCATCCAGCCACATATGAATATATGGCACTGAATACCTCCTGCTGTGGGAGGGGCGGAGAGAGCAGGGTCAGGTTATTTGCACTCTTCAGGATTCTCAGGTAAAAACGCCCAGCTGAACCAGAATCAAGATGCTGGACCATATGACAGTCTCTTATCAGTTGTGTCATGGAGCACCTAATAGACACAAGTTCCAGCTTCAACGCGTATATACACACAAACTCAGATAATACAACACATTTAAGCTAAAGTCTTGTCTTTAGAACAATTCCTCCAAATGCATCATAACATAAGTGGGCTGTAGATTAAGAGCTGGTCTGAAAGGATCCTGAGATATTTCTAACTTCAATTAATCTTACTTCAGAAACGTACATCTGTGGCACCTGAATAATGAAATCACACCACGTTCATAATGGAATGTCATTAAGTTGATCTAACCTGCCCATACCAGTGGGGGGAACAGAAAGGACTTTGCTGTGAAGAATGCTATTAAAGTTATTGATTTCTCAATTTGTTTGTCATGACTTGTTCAAATTACTGTCCTTCTTGTATTTTCTCAATACTTATTAGCGAAATGTGGATGGAAAACTGGATTTGATCCTCGATTGTATCCAGTAGACTGCACTGGTTATTTGTACAACAAAGGATGGGTGCTTTTTAAAATTTTGGTCAACATCACCTACCCTACAAAGGGAGGTAAGAACTAGAATAATAACTTGCACAAGAATGAACCAGCCAATCAGGTAGATAAGTTGACAGGGGTGGGGAAACCAAACCTGGATCTTTAGTTTTCTAAAATCCAAAGAGGGATTGAAACACCTTTCTGAATGAACAGCCCACCACAATTACCATATACTGAATGTGATGAGAGCTCAGTATCTGAGGATGACAAGCAGCCAAGCTTGTATTTTTCATGTAGCATGACAGCATATAGAAGGAGCTATTACCTCCAATCCAGTGTGCACTTGGAGTTTGAGGACAAAATATAACTACTCAAGCAAATAACAACCAGTTGTCATCATTTATGCTCCATTTATACTGAATATTTAAACAACTGTTGGCGGAACCATTTGCTGGGTTGCTTCATTAGTTATTGATGATAATGTTTCTTCCTTACAATCAAAGGTTGAACTTGCATGCATCTTGTCCACTGTTCCATATTGTGTACTGATACTTATACACATATGAATGCTGATGGAGGGAAAATTACCAAATCTTGGATTGGATTATGTATCTAATAAAGGAGTGACTTGTTCCATGTAAAAGGAGGGTGCCAAGGAATGCTGCAACTGAACTCAATAATAATGCCAGAGCCTTCTATTTAGTCAAGTAGATTTAACTGGGTGAAAGCTTTTTACTAAATCCCTGGAAAATGTGTTCTAGGTTTAAAATCCACTTACACTTGAACAGAGAAGCAAATATGAACACCAGACTCAAGATTAATCACCTAACCTATCTGATCCAAGGTTCATGTGTGAAGAAATGAAAAATCATTCAGTGAGATGGTCCAGATATCCCAATACTGCTTCCTGTTCTTGCAGAGACTTTCACCCACAAGCAGCACCTGCTTCTCTTTGAAAGCTAGCTGACTGTATTCCACACTGTACTCTGGTCCCCATGCGTCTAGAGAAATGGCAAGTTAGTTTCTTATTCAAGAGAGAAACTTCCCAACTGTTAAATAGTCTGCAGTGTCTAACTAGAAATTGTTCAGGCCTGCTCTTGTACTTGATATATCCTATTAATAGCTTTTCTTACCCATGACCAAAATACCTTTCTTAGTGGCTTGCTTGTATTAGATATCAGCACATAGCAGTGAGAAAGCAAGCTATTTAACTATTCTAAAAATGGGTTTTTCTCTACATAAAAACAACACATTATTTTTTACTATTGGATCCATGATTTAGCTACTGAAAACCTGCGAATACATTGTTCCATTTTTGTTTAGATGTGATGAAGTCCATTGTGAGATCATCATTGTCCCAGACATCATCAGAACTTTGTGGGCACTTGAAAGCCCAAGATGTATCGCATTGTAAATCCACTTTTGAAGAACATCATCCACCGGAGTCTTTTTGATGCTACTTCAAGGAAACAATGTCTGCAGTATTTAAAAACCTTAAGAACTTTGCAGCTTAATGGCTACAACACCATCTTCTTAGGTGAAACTGATATTTCAGAAAGTCTAATAACAGGGGAAAAGGTTCCTTGTGAAGATAGTCTCAGCTGGCCTATTTGGAGTATTGTACATGCTGGAAACAGCCAAGGATGGGTACCATGGCGATACAGGGTGTTTCTACGGGATGACTTACCCTTAGACCAGCAAGAAGATGTTTTTCAGGAATTCTGTGACTTTCTTTCAATCACCTATGGAAAGTGTGCCATTGTGGTCAAAGAGAGAAAACTGTCAAGAGCAAAGATGCAAGAGTCTAGCCAACAGCTGGAGATAACTGAACCTCAGTCTATTTCTCTTCCTTCTTTATTGACCATCAACTGTTGTCCTGAGACTGCCAAGGCCACGGGTCATGAACTTCTCTCAGTGCCTTTCCCCTACAGCTACCTTCACCCTATGGATGCTGCCTGGTCGTCCTTGAAATGGTTCATTATCAATAACAGGAAGGAATTTTCTCTGATCTCCTTGGAGAGGACCTACTCATACCAGTGCATCCTCTTTAGTGACTTGATTGGAAAAGGAATTGAGAAAATGAACCCAAATAAATGGAAGGTGGCAGTTAGCAAGGTTCGGAGATGGGAAAACTACTACTTGGATAAGTTTTCTTAACTTTCTCTCTAGCTGATGTAATTGAAAGTTGGCTAGCTGATAAACTGAATCTATTGGTTTATATGTCTTCGTTTTAAATCAACACTAATAATGATTAATAAAAGGAACAATTTTTAAATTACTTTAAGAAACATGAAACTGGGTTCATAGGTATAATTTATCTGACTGAAATTAATTTAGACTAACTGGGAGGACAGCAAACACTTGGATGAAGGAGAGGTAGAAAGGAACTAAGAGAAAATAAGAAAAGCAAGGGAGAAATCAATATGACAATCCTAAAGTTAATAGACCCACCCCAGTTCTATACTTGTGACGAAATGAATCTTGATCAGATTGGCTAAGGTGCTGCAGATAACAATGATTGAAAACATTAATGGGAAGGCACAGGGAATGGGACTATGTATTTGGACTATATATTATATATAATTGGACTAAATATTCTTGATATCCTATGACTCTTTGACTTCTTTCCTGACATTGCTCTCACCTCTAGTCAGTCACTCACAAGGAATAAGTAACCCTGTTCTGCATTATTAAAATGAGCTAGTACAGCAAACTATAGTAGTTAAGAGCTGAAGATTTCCAGCTGAAATTTGAGCTTAACAAGTGAGCTTTAGGCAAGTTGTTTCCTACTCAGAGTAAAGAGTGAATGTGACTTGTTGTTGAATCATGGGTTGTTGTTAGATGCAAACCATCCATTATTGTTTAATTATCAGTCAATAGCAATGAACAATCCCGAGTTCATACCCAAACAACTAACCTTGGTTCTCTCCCTGGGTTGTTCATGAGTAACAACCCATAGTTAAATTATAGCACAGGATTTGTTACTGATTCAGTAACAATCCACATTCTGGATTGTTTTTATGCACAAGCCAGGCTATTTTCTCTCAACCTCAGATCCCAAGCATAATGATTTAATATAATACTTACCAAACCATCAGGGTTGTTGTAAAATTACTGAGGTAGTTTGTGGAAATGCTATATAAATTCTTTTTGAGTGAAAAATATCAGCCATTTAAGGTTTTTTATTATTTCTTTGAATGTAAAGAAGATCAAATTCCAAATGTACATAATTAAGGGCTAGGTGCTATCATGTTCAATTTGTACAGCATTTGATTTTTACTTAGATTTCTACTAATAATAGGATAGTGTCGACTAATACATTCTTCAAGCAGAGTAGTTTTCATTGAAGTGGTTGATATCCAAGAATACTTTTTGTTGAATTAGGTTGCTGTGATTTCATCTGAAAGCCACCTACAACCGTCATAGTCTCCTGTGGCATATTTGCCTCCTGCTCGAGACACCCTTTTCTTCACTTTCTCTCTAAAATGGAAATGCCAAAACAGTTCAAATAATTTTGCATAAAAGAAATGGAGAACTCTGTGTGTCAGGAAGATGCATATTATAATAATGAATTACCTCTGAGTTGGTATCCAGAGCCAGAAACCATTCCAATAGATTGGTTTTGAGATGCATATCAGGTAGGTGCCTCAGATGTCATTTGATTTAAAAGCTTTCAGCAATGCATTATCTAAGCATTATCTCTTGTTCCAGGCAGATCTGAAGAAGATGAAGACGCTATGCTTAGAAAGGTCCAGTACAGCCAAAATGTACATAGCTGCTTCAGCTCTGGGACAGTCATAAATGAAAATCTACAGGTTTAACCCAGGTTAGGGAAATGATCAACGTCTAGGTCTGCTTTCTCTAACATGGTAACCTCCAGATGTTTTGTACACCAAAGCCCAGCATTTATGACCATTGGCCATGCTGGCTGTGGCTGATAGGAACATCCCAAGCATCTAGAAGACACCAAGCTGGAAATGTTGGTGTTATGTTTTGTGGAGTACTTTAGTGTTCAGGTCTGAAATGCAGACACTCCTCATGACAGTCCCTACAGCCACACCTCTAAGAAGAGTTCAAAAACTCAGGCAGCTGTGTGGATCCATATCAACACACCATTTCTGGCAGTCTTCACCAACAGCTGGTCTTCTGCAAAGCTCTTAAGTCTCAAAATCAATCCACCCTTCAAACAGGGAACAGACAGGGAACAGATTTTCCCTCAGCTATGGCTAAGTTCAGAGGAAACAGGGAATTTTGTTTGGGCAGTCAGAGGACATCAGCATCCCTACTACCTTCCCAGCAATTCATGCATTGGGTAGAGCAAGCGGTATGTGCAGCACTGCTGAATGACCACAATACCTGGCAAGTGTAACTCTCATCCTGCATCTCTGAATATATGGGGGAAAGCAAGCATGCAAACCATCCCCCTCCCCTATTTCGAAGGGACATGACTGGCCCATGAGCCATTGTTATGTAGGACTAACTCAGGAGCAAGTCCTGAGTTGAATTCAAGGAGGCTTAATCCCAAGTGAGTAGAAGCTTCCATTTCTAGCCTATCATATTGTTTCTATTTTAGCATGACTTCCATCCTATCCAATCTTGCCAAGTACAGCAGTTCACCATTTTTCCACATGATGGCAGTATATGAAATGTTAATCTGCTCCGCTTGTATGCAAAACATCATATTCCTATGTAGCAGAGCTTCTCTTGCAGTTCCTAAGTGTGTTTCAAAAAAAGGCTTCTCAACTTGTGACTAAAGCAAATTAATTGAATACAAAAGACCACATTTTTCCCTTTTAAAGTGACAGGGAGAATACAACTTCTAGAAAATGGCCTGTGACACCAGCTTGCACATTCACTCAGATGTCCATCACACTATGCTCAATGGAACTTTCTCCCAGGTAAGGCTACATAGGGCTGCAACCTTAAATAAGTTCAATGTTATAGTGGGCATTGCCAAAAAGGTTAACAGCAAAATCCTATGCACGTCTTTTCAGTTGCAAGTCCCACTGAATGCCCTGGGACTTATTTCCATCTAAGCAAAAGCTGGGTTGCAGCCTATGTTGCTAGGTATGTTCTTAAACTTATAGATACAGTTCAATAGATGTCTACTCGGAAATAAGCTCAACTGAATTTAATGAGATTTACACCAGAGTGGGTATGTACAGAATAGCTCTGATTATATAGATTCAAGCTGCTAAATAAGACAGCTGACTTTTCTTATATAGTTCTCAAACATGAGTTTGAAAGTCAAAGGTGGGCAGGAAAATCATGTCCTTTCAACCTAGAGCTATAGCCAACATCACAAGTGGGCTTCTACTCATGCAATGCAACTTCCTTCTCTCTTTCCCACTGCATCCCTCCCTCAAACATTCTCTAGAGGGTTACTAATCCTCTAGAGAGTTGGGCTGCAGGGGCAGGGAGGCAAAATGTGTTCTGCCAGTGGTGTTTGGTGGACAGACTTCACTGGGCGCAACCTTTCTACTCCATCCTGGAGTGTACAAGTCACAACCTAAGTAAGTTTATTCAATGATTAAGGCTACACCCCCAGTGCAACTGACTGGAAAATGCTGGCAGTTGTAGGTCTTTTTTCTGTCTAGTCATACCTAGACTTGCAATAGTCCTTGGAACATCAGGACCAACTTAATGAAACTTTTTCATGAACTTTAGCTAGCTCTAAGTATGTAAGGAAAAGAAGGAAGCTTGTCAAATGAACTTACAAATAAATATGACTTGAAAGGAAACAAATGATCCATTTAATTACAAGATGCTAGCACAAGAGAAATTTTGGCTGCCTCTATCATCACAAGCACTCAGTACATAAAATTTCCAATAAAATGGTAAACTCAGATTTACAAAGAGAGCTTTTACTATATGAACAGGTGACAAAAATATTCTGATTACATATACAAAAACAAAAAGTTCAACACATTGCTTAAGTAAATGTTGCTATTGTGGAATTCATTTCTCTGGCAATGTTCAGTTTCAATGAAGTCTTCAATTCACCCAGGAAAGGAATCCAAGTAAGCTGCCAATTGGCTAAAAATCTGCACATGAAATAAAATAGATACATTTTTGGTAGCTGATAAAAACCAGTCTTCACACATGGAAGCAACTGTGTCGTGCTTCATGCTCTTGTACCTCAGGACAGAATTTCTGCTACTTCAGATCTTCAAATTCAGGTCACCATTTCTCTTTTGTACTGCAGTATGGGGCAGGGCAGAATCAATTTGCAAGTGGGAAACAGCAGGGGAACTGGTGCTGTCCAGGCGCTGCATTTTCTCCTTGCAACCTCATCCCAGCCATGGCTGTGGCCCATGTTTGCAAGGTCTCCTTAGGAAAGCCTAGTCCCACCAGGTTTAGATCAGAGATACAGAATGCCTTACCATTCAGATACTGTTACACTGCAACTCCCATCATCCCTCACTATCGGCCAGGCCAACTGGGGTAAGGGAACTGGAAATCCAACAATATTCACCAGTCATGGCTTAGGACTTCATCTGAGGTTTTGCTCCATGTGATATTTCTATCTGAGATGAGGAAGGTGGTTCCCAGGGGCATATTCTCCATATATGAGCCTCTGTCATCATATTTTCATTTCACAGCTCACTGTATAGACTATATTTCTGTATTCCCCTTTTTGCATCAATGCATGTTCTGCTGATAGTGTAATTTGGACCTGCTGCCACTGTTTCTAAAGTCTATTTTTTATTTGGTGTATTATCAACTGGCAAATGTAGCAGTTTTCTAAGAAAATAAATCTAAAGGAGGGCCAAAAGGCTGTCCATGTCCTGCCTGGTAAGACTATCAACCACTCACTCTCACATATGTCACGAAGTTTTAATTGTAATTGTAATTCTATTTGTTTTATTTATTTGTGTTGTGAGCCATCCCGAGGCTGTGTAGCAATGGGGACGGCATATAAAAACTTTAAATAAATAAATAAAATGAAGACCACAATATGCCTCAAGTAGAAAGCATGAGCATTACAGATACAAGGCTGCAAAGCAAGAATGGGCTCATGTGCTAAATCGGACTGTGAGGTTTTTCCGTCTGTCCCACCAGCTTCTTCCCAGGCCCTGCACCCTCTCCTCTGTGTGGAGAAGCTCTTATCTCTGTTCAGCTGTTGATCAGAGGTAAGAGCTCCTCCCTGCAGAGGAAAAGGAAAGCAACGGGCAGGACACAGGAAGGAAGCTCCTGAGTGACAGTCCAGCACACTTATGAGCAGGTATGCTGCGTGTGCTTGTGAATAGACAAGCAGAGGCTTGGTATTAGGAATGCCATTTGAAATTGCTGCTGAATGAATCACTCCTGCTTATTTGTGAGAAGTCATGCAGCAACTTGCCCTGCTTCCTTGCAGATACACTTAAAATTGGGAAGAATCAGATCTTGGCCTTACTTAATTTGCCTTTGACCTTGCCTACAGAAAGGATGCAGTTCCTGAGACCTTTGCCGGATTGGAATTTAGAGCATGGACTAAAAACAATCCCCAATCCTGATATAAAGGAAGTTACAAAAAGCCAAATACTGATAAGTAAACTTGCAAAGGGTTAGGCTAGGAATTCTATTTTACTGCACTATGGTTGAGTCTTTTAAAAGCAAGATGTTTCAAATCTAATTTTAAAGTCAGCAAAATATTTGTGGTGTCAGTGAGCCATATGGTTTTTAAAATGGGCATTCTAGCCTCAGGAGCACAGCGCTGGCCGAAGTCCTATTAAACAGAAATGTGGTTTCCGCCAGCAGAAAGACCTGAGGATGTCCTGAGAAGGATGTCCTTTTCTTGGGAGATATTAAAGCACTCAATTGCGCTCACTCAGTGAAGTGTGCTTAGCAGTGTAATCTATGCTGGGAGCTGTAGGCCCTTTTTCTGTCTAATCATGCACAGCATTGTACCTTAACTGTATCAGTCAATGTAATACTAAGCAGCACCACCTACAAAAAGGGGGAAGGGGCAGCTGACAGGATCATTTCTCAAGTGACAACAGTCAGCAAATCATGAGGCCCTTCTATATAGGAAACCATTTGAATTGTTTGCACAGAGTGTCCATATTCAATAAGCATGCTTCATGTACAGGGGAGGAAAAGATGTGTAAGAATATAGCAATGTGTCAGGTGTCCCTCAGTTATGACTTCTAAGACCCTCTGAACCCGCTTATGTGGCAGGACCTAACAGAAATCTTTCTTTTTTTCTGAGTAGGTGCTGAATAGGTGAGTGAGTAGGTGCTGAATAAAGACTTCTGACAGGAAAGCCACCAGCATGAAGACACTGAAATAATATGTGGGGCAGGGGGAAGGTCACAGGACTGTGCATCTGCAGACCCCCAAACACACTCTCCTTCAGGGGCACTGCAGCCATATCAATGTACGCATGTTCAGCTCCTCCACTGGAGAGGGGACCCTGACAGGGCCAGGATCCCCCATTATGTGGAGCAGCTCTATCATCTTCCATTGGTACAAGTAGAGAGTGGAACACAATCCCGCTCACACATTTTTTTGATGAGTGGGGTGGAAGTCTGAGCCCCTGTGGAGGGCCCTAGTTAATTATTTTAACATTTTTTTTGCTTTACATTATTGATCACTGCCACCCATGGCTTTTAGCAAGCAGGAAGTTATGAATAAAATTAATAAATAACATTATCAACATTCTTCCTGTCAAAACATACCTATTAAACATCTCAGTTTTCCTTCTTCTCGTCTTTCCTTTTCTGCTTCTCCTCCTGTTCCTTTCTCATTTTTTCTTCAAGCTTTTTCCTCTGGTACACTTTAACTCCAGCAAATGCTAAGCAAAGAATTAATGTTTTAGCTGCTAAAATGTACATCAGCAGTGGAAAGTTTTCCAATGCCTAAAACAAAAGAGGAAAAAAACACAAGTACCTTCAATCACAAAAAAGAGGAAGAACTGAAATAACTGCAAACTGTAACCCTGAAAAATGCAAAACTATCTCCTTTCATCAGTTATAATTCAGATTGCTTCAAAAGTATACAGGCCTAGATTAGCCATCATACTAACAATGCTGGAAACTAAATCTATGCAATCTATGCATAGTGCAATCTATGGAATGCGCTCCCCAGAGAGGTCCGCCTGGTGCCATGGTTATTTGCTTTTTGACACCAGGTGAAGATCTTTTTATTTAAACGCCATTTTAATTGTTAATATTATTTATTTATTTTATTTTTATGGCCAGGATGTCTCCAATTATATTGTTTTATACTGTTGTTATTTATTTATTGTTGTAAGCCGCCCCGAGGCTTCGGCGAATGGGGCAGCATAGAAGCTTTCTAAATAAATAAATAAATCTCTTTCAGCCTGAGGGCTGGATTCAATTAGCTGCTAGCTTCATTGGCCTTGCACAAGTTGCTGAGGAGCTTGGGCAGGCAGAAGTCTTACAGTCATCCTGCTTCAGGGATCCTGTGGGCAGCTGTCCCCCCTCCCCCCCGCGTCTGGATGGAGTGCTGGACTGGATGGACCATCAGCCTGATCCAGCATGTGTTCTTACTTTCTTGTGTTCTTACTTTGGAGAAGCTCTCAACAGCCACATTCCAGTGATGAGTGGAGCCAAAGTGTTGGGTAGTGGGAGCTCAAAATACAAAAAATACCAGGACATTGTAGCTTAAAGCTCCTACTACCAAGAGTTAAATCTTTGCCAAGACATTTCAAACTTTTAGAATGGAAAAAACTGCCCAGGAACTAGGAAAACATCAAATGATTTGGGATGGGGAGGAAGGGGTAGGGTTATTTGGGGAATTCCATAATGCTGGATTGGAACTCCTGTAGGGTCAGATTTGAGCCCCAGGACTGCTGTTCCCTACTCCTACTATGGGAGGACAGTTTCCACCGAATTTGGTTTTTGATCATTTTTAGTGTAGCATACCTAGCCCCCTTCAGCAGGGAAACACCAAACATGCCTTTGAATGTGGTGGTCTTGAAGGTCCTCTCCCAAAGATCTTAGGAACCAGGAAGGCCCATGTGGGATAAGGTGGTCTTTCAGTTAGCCTGACCCCAAGCCCAAGTCTGTCCAGAGCATTCTGGACCACTGAAGTTTCTGAACAGTTTTCAAGGGCAGCTCCATGTAGGCAATGCTCCAATTGTCCACGTGGAAAGTTAAGTAAGGATAATTAAACATGGCCAGATCAAACATCTAGTGTCCCTGAGTCCTCATCTGGAAATGCTATGAAGCTGCTCTGCTTACATAAAAAGCCATTTACTTGTTCTCTGAAGAATCCACGGACCAAAGTAAACATTTAGTTAGTCAAACATTGCACTTTCATATGGTGCTAACAAAAGCTCCTACAAATAGTCTTTGTTGACCAAGAAAAATGCTGTTAAACAGTAAAAGGAGCAACCCTCAGGCTCCTCTATTAGGATTTCTTTAAAAGGTGCTACGAATTAAAAGTAATATATATTTAAATCCACATCTGTATCACACCCAGGTTGTGTACTGGACGCAGTGTGATTTACTGGAATCAAGTCCTCCAAATAAGTGTATCAGAAAAAGATGATATATGCAGGCCAGAGTTAACGTCAAGATGAACATTTGGTGTTCCAGTTATATTTGGACTGCAAATCCAATTGTCTCTGACCATTTCCCTCAAGGAGCTGATGGGAATTGAGAGGGAGTCCAAAATCTTGAGTACCACAGGCTCCCCATCCAAGGTGTAGGTGACATGTCCTTCTATTTTTCAAGGGCCAAAGTAAGGCAAATGTTTATTCCACTGACTGCATCATGATGGATTAATGAAGCTATTGTATTGTTATGTTGGTTTTAAATTGACATTGTTACATTTCAAAAGGATCTTCTGAGAAGGGATCAGGATGTTCCCATGCACCAAAGCCACAACAAATGTGTGAACAGCTTCTCCTTAAGGGCAGATGTAGGAAAGGGTGACCCAACAGAAAGGAACAGCACAAGAGCTTATAGACAGTCTGAAGCATGAGCTAATCTGCTAAGATAAGCGTAGTTTTACATCCACAGTAAAAGCCCTCATGTGCAAAAACAACAACAAAGCAATGCAAACTACTTACAAAGTAACAAAGTTGTATGGCAGAAAAATGCAAACACAACTACTTCTGGGAATAAGAGGCAGCCACTGACAGAAAATACAGAACTATCTCTTCGAAAACACTTTAGCTTAGAAATGAGCATTCAAGGTTTTACTAATTAAACTACCCTCACCTTCCAGTTCAAGGCCAACATCTTTATTCTGCAACGATGTCAAAGCTCACACTTCAGGCTGGTCTCTACGAAATCCGTAAGGCAGAAAAGTCACCTGAAAAATAAAGATGTATTCAGATGATCTATTTGTGCCTCAAATATGTAAGAAACTCCTTAGGCACTGAATCATCTGACAAAACTACCCAATCAATCTGTTTCAACAGATTGGCCTTTACAAGCTTTGAATGTGAATGGTCACATAAGCTGAACATGCATAAGCCATTCAGCGCGCCCCGCTGCTTAAAGAGAGATAGAGAACATTCAAGAAAGCTCTCGCAGGGACTGAACTGTATTCCTGCTGAGTGACAGGAACAGCACCCAGTTGGGAGTGCACCGAGCAGCAGCGACAGGCTGGGACAGGTGACATGGCTTTATAGGGAAGCGGCTATCTCCTTCCACTTGCTGAAAACAGCAGCAGCTATTCTGCTAAAACGCACATGCAGTGTGCCAGGATTCAAGTTTTGAGACCCTGCAGCAAGGCACCCTCAGTCAGTCCACTCCTGAGGCAGGTCTAGCCATTGTCTCCAACAGCGCTTGCTCCTCATCCCGTCTCCCATCCCAGCTACCACTTGCTGGTGGTGTTCCTCCTCACCACCACCACCACCACCATTGCCTGAGCCTGAGGAACTGAACAGGAAGGTGGGCTTCTAGGATACTCTTTGCCAGTTTTCCCTGCTAGGAAGTAGGCCCTCAGCAGGTATCTGGCTAGGCCTGCCTTTGATATTGGTCCTGTATGAATAGACTAGCTCTACTGGAAACAAAGGGGAGCCCTATGTAAAGCTAGAGCAGAAACGGGCATACGGAGGCAGGTATACAAAGAGTGCTCTCTAATGTCCATACATACCCAGCTGCCTTTAAGATCTTTTGCATTAGGGCTGAGGAAGGCTTTGTAAGTAAGTCCAGCTGAACACATTTACAAAGCTCCTGTGAATGGGAGCCCGGCCTTATCACCATTTCCCTCCACCATCTTCAGTCCTTCACACTAAACATGGGAAGATCCCTGAGGCATTTGCGGTGCTGGGACATTTGGAGCCAGGCCTTGCGCACACAGCCCTCACTCCACTTGGGGTCTACCTGCATGCTGGCAAGTCCCTACCTATACACAGGCCTCAATCCAGCTAAAGTTAGTCGTGATTCATTCCTACTGAAACTTAGGACTTATTTATACCATTCAATAGGAAGTAGTCATAACTGTACTTGGAGTTAGGCCAGGCTAAATTTTTCTGTGAAATTCGTACTTTTTCAGACCGCATTAAAAGAAAGGGAGGGTCAATTCTGCCTCTCAAGGTCTGAGAGCTAGCAAGGCATGAAAACCCCTCATGTAATGCAAGTTATGTGGGGGAGCAACACAAAATCATTTTATGCAGTGGGGGGAACCGTTTTTTTGCTGATAGCTGCTATCCTGCTGGGTGCGGGCCCTGCTGCCGGCAGTGGCCAAGGCCGCTTCTTTTCTCTCCCCCCAACCCCAGTGCGTCCTTCTTTCTCCTTTGGTGAGCTTCAATGGGGAAGGGCAGTTCACTCTTGGCCAAGGTCTCAATGATCCTTTGCTGAGGGCATCTGAAAGTACAATAGGGACCACATGAGGCAGAAGGATGCGGTTTGCCCTCCCTGATCTAATGAAAGCAACTCACAGCAGAGAGTCTACTGGTGTGGATTAGATTAACAGTTAACTGTAGGGAAGGAGGAAACCTATAAGAAGTCTTTCAGACTTTGAATGTTCAGTATCAGAACTGACCTCCTATTTTAATATTAAGTAAATGAAAGTATCCATTCCACAGAAAAAATACATCTCTAACTAAAACAAAAAGAAGCAAATTTACTTGCTAAAAATTCCAGAGATGGGCATATTTTATTTACAAGCACTGCACACAGAGAGCCAATTTACGTGTTCAGCACATGCATGTTCATCTACCTATACCACTGAAATGGAAGTGTGGAGTTGTCTATTAGGGTGTTCCCATAAATAAGAAGGACTATTTATGTGGCATACTTGGTAATGTTAAAGCCATTCTCCAGAAGTATACACTTTCCAGTACAGGTATTCCCTGATGAAAGGAAAGGTTTCAATATGTGAAGTAGTGCAGAATCACAAAGGGGCTTCTTGTTATCCTTTTCTGAATATATAGATCATTAGTCCTTACATTAATCTGGGCAAGGGAATTCCAATAGCTACAAGGCACTTACAAATATCTAAGAAACTGAATTTAGGCTCAACCACTATTTTGGCCAGATGGTGAAGAATCCTGCCAAGCCACCCATGTCTGGAGTCCAAAAATATGAATTTCCATATGCCCATCTTCCTCTCTGCCAATGCCTATTTGCTTAACTGCCTAGACTGAATTTGAATGGTTCTCGTGGTGAAAAAGAAGGCGCAGCAGTAAAGGAGTATGGCTAGGAAATAAAAACCCTCTTTGCACACGTGTGTGTGTGCCATGCACATGTGGTGTGGAACAATAATAGGCACATTTGGCAAGGAATGTAACAGAAAGAATGAAAATACAGCACCAGTAAAATCTCCAGTAAAAGTCCTGAAATAAAATGACTATCACAGGAACAAATTTGTCTTTATATTGCCCAGTATTATTCTATAGTACTGTTCTGATTTTGTCTGTGCTATTCTATTTATACCCCTTTCAACTGGCTATTAACTACCTATAAGAGGGAAGGCACACAGATTCCAGGGGAAACACTTCCCAAATTAATGCACTAAAACTACATGTCTAAGTCATTTCAAGTACCCCATCTGCAGGACCACTTGAATGCTCCAGTAGCTTCTTTCTCTCAGCTAGTATTGGTTCTCTGTTTTCACCTTGCTTTCTAAGTCCCAGCTGATGTCCTTCAAAGGGAAAAAAGATTAGTATATCTTTGATAAGCAAGAGTCTCTTACTGGTTTGTTAACAAAAGTATGATTTCTTCATACTGATTTCAGTGGTTCAAAAAGAAACATTACATATTGTACTTTCAAGGTTAAGTTCTCCAATGAAAGGCCTGGGATCACGTAAGCAGACTGAAGTTTCATATTTGTTTGTCTCTCACCACACACCCTCAAGTCAGATAAAGTATAGATACTAGTTAACTATGCTTTGTCTTGGTTTTTTGTTGCAACAAAAAATCTTGCAACAAAAGGTACAATAAAGAAAAACAAGACCAGGTTCAGTGTCAGGCTTTGCAAGATCAGGGCATTATCCATGATGATTGCCCAGAATTCTCCAGACTTGGAGAATTAGGGGCACGTCGTGGAGGAAAGGAGCAGCACAGGGCAAGAATTGCCTCCACACATTTCTTGGCACACGTTCCAGATAATTTAGAAAGTCAGCTTTGGCCATCTAAGTGTTTTACACCATTTTGCAAAGGGGAAAGGCTAATGCACCACCCCTGTTCCGTGTCTCGAGGACACTCACTCCCCTCTTCCTCAATAATCAAAATGCCCCCCTTCCCTGTGCTGGCCCCCAGGTCACACATCCAACTTTGAAATTGCAGCCAGTGAAGAAAGAAGCACATCAGCCCTGAGAGCTGAATTCGGAGGGAAAGCACTCCAAATTCAGAGGCCCAGCTCTGACTGGGCTTTACATTTTTCCATGGCCATCAAAACATAAATTTAATCAAATGAAATCATGGTAAAAAATTACAATCATTAGTAATACATATCAAACTACCACCTAATTTTATACCTTATTTACATCTGTGGAATACAGCCAAACCTTTAACTAACTGTATACCATGATGACAAACTTCTCTTAGAGCTCCCAATTCCAGTCAATACGTTCCAGTCAAAGCTGCCCATGTTAAAATGGTCTACAAATGTCCTAAGTTTTGAACAACAGCACAAACCTATTTACTGAGAAGAAAGCCCAGTGACAAAGGGTTGCATGTATGTAACCTTAATCATCAATCTCACTAAAATCAATGTTATTGCAGAGTAAAATTACATAGGATTACACAGTAACATTGAAATGGCATGCACACCTATTTGGGAGCAAACACCATTGAACTTTGTAGAAGTAACGTCTAAGTAAAAGCTAACAACAAACCTAACAGGCTTACAGGGCTATCTTACTCAGAAGTAACTCCTAGTGAGTCTAATGGGACTTAAAGCTCCAAGATATATTATAAATAAATGTGTATAGGGTTAGGGTTAGGGTTAGGGTAGCCTTAGTTGGGAATAAGTTCTAGTAAACCTGGACACCAAGGACACATGCATAGATTGGACAGGCATGGAGCGATGCACCTTCTAAAAGAAGATTCTGAGACTAGGTCAAACTAGGCAAATAGACATAAAAGGGTTTTCTTCTGCAGTGATGCTATTCATGCTTAACCACCAAACAATGTTCCATCGAGTGAAGCGGACCTTAATCCCAAGCAAGTGTGCATACACTATTACAGCTACGTCGCACAAGGACGCTAAAAGAAGGGCAAGTTTAAAAGGAAAAAAATAACCGAGTACCCTATGCAACTTAAAACAGAAACAGCTATGCCCACAATATTGCCACTTTCATATTAACATTCATTCTTCCTTACAAATAATCTTAACGAAGACAAGCGTTTCCTTATTTACAAACTTGCAGTACCGTACAAGCATCCATTACACACAGGAAAAGGCTACAGACTACAACTCCCAGAAGCCTTACGGGCGGGATGGAAATAGGAGAAACATTACGTCACCTAAGACGCAACAATGGACAGTCCAGCTATTAACCCTTTCATTTCAAGTCTTTCGTGAAGTGTATTATGGTGTAGAGTGTTGCTCACAAATGAAGATGTTTCCGCCGCAACAGCTTTCGCGCTATGGAATGAACGTTAATAAATCTATAAGAAAAGCTATCCGTTTTATAAGTTTTTTTTAAAGATCCTGGTGTTAATATACCTCTGCAAGATACACGCTGCAATTCTATACCTATTTACCCAGGAGTAATCCCCATTGATTGCGACGGGAATAGATATTAATAGAGACGTAGCTAGTCTTTTTTTCTTTTACTCAAGATGTTGGGACTCGTATTCTAATGAAGCAAACTCAGGTCCAAATAGCAGAACATGTTAGTCAAGCTCCATATATAAGCTCCATATACATACACACCCACACACCCCAAATGAGTTCAACAAAAGAAGATTCTTGAAATAAAACGTGCAGCATTTGATTGATTGAGTTGAGTTGAACTCTGCCTTTCCACCAAACAAAATGGTGCTCAGAACTATAAACCAAACGTAAAATAAGACACACTCAGTAAAAACTAATAATTAAACATCGATTTCACGCAATCAAAAGCACATCAAAAAAATAATGAAAGACAGTACCCAACCCAACAGAATCCATTACAGCAATTGCTTACACTCCAAAGGCTCATTGGACACAAACATTTCTGCTTTCTAGTGAAAGATCGGCAGAGAGGCAACCAAGCTCACTTCCCTCAGAAGGGACTTTGAGAGCTGCTAGAACTCTCCCCTCCCCTCCAAGGTGGCTCTGATGTCTTCGCATCCAAGTGCTTCCCCATAAGATCTTAAGATCAGAGCAGCCTTGTATGGGTGAAGACAGCCTTTCATGTAACCTGGTCCCAAAGGCTTTATAAAGTCACTGGCACTTTGCACTGTTTCCCATACAGCCATCAATAGTCCTGCTGCATTTTTCTGGGCCAGCTGAATTTTCTGAACAGTCTGACACAGACCAGAGCACCAAATAGCAGCATGCATCCTGAAAAGAACATTTCCAACTCTTAACACTAAAATTGCATCACTAACAACACGATTGTTTAATAAAAAATGGGGGACATTGCAGGTCCACTTGTATAAAAACATTTGCCATTGTTTATTTTTCTGATCTAGAATGTTTAAAAGATTGTAAGCACTGCAGATTAGGGAGATTTCTAAATACAGAGAAGAACAAAATATTGTAAGTTTGACTGGTTTGATCATGCCAACTCTGACTTTAATACTGAATCAGAAACATGAAGATTTGACTTTTGAGGTTTCTCAAATTATGATGTTGCAAGATTTGTTGTTGGGTTTCAGTATTCTACCTCTGTTTATGTGAGCTGCAAACATAATTCTCCTGTGCATCAATAAAATGTGCAAATCTCTGCCAGAGAGCTATGACAATGTGATAAGAAATGTTTACTTATACTTCAAATGCAGTTTCAGTGCAATAGTTGGCTCAATTGAAACCTTTCTGAATTTGTCTGCTTAGTCTACTTGTTTGCCTACCAAACTCTGGATCTTGCTTACACAGATTGCTTTGCTAGGAATCTTAATATCTCTTTTTAAAGTTGAGAAATTGGTCGTAAAAAGAGTGCAGCAGAAATCTTAAGTAGCTGCTATGGCCTGTTCATAAAGAAATTCTTCCTTATTTTACTACTGATTTTACAGACATTCTCGCTAATGAATGTGTCTCTCCAGTTAGACATGATAATAGTAGCAAAGTGGCATGACAGGATAGCAAAGGCTGTCACTTATGGTCAGCCCATACCAGAAGTACAAACTGGTTCGACCAATCGTTGGCTCTTCCATGGCTTTTCTCATGATCTTCAGTTACATACAACATGCTGAGCAAAACTGACCTCCTAGCTGTTTTCCAAGAACACAAAGGAGCTGCAAGGTAGCCCAGCCTAGGAAGGCCCAGTAGAATCCTGGGCAGTAGTTCCCAAGTAGGGATGTGCGATCCATTGGATTCTCTGGACTCGGCTTACTGGATTTCATTCTGTTTTTTCATAGCCATGAGTCTGACTTCCTGTAGAGTTTGCTGGGTGTTCATGAGGGCACCTGCCAGGAAACAAGCCCATGCGCATGCTGCAGAAGCAGCCTCCGTCTCCCACGCAGATGACTTGCAGCTTTTGCTTGAGCTGCACATGCTGCAGAAGAAGGCTGACAGCTGCACAACTGAACTTCTGCAAGTGTTTGTGGACTTCCTCTCAGCTCAGCTTGCTTCCTAAGCAAGAGCTGAGCATGAGAAGAAGGCCAATGGCTGGAAGAGGGATGGAGTCTGGGAACGATCATTGCAGCCCTGTTCTCAAGGACCAAAGGCTGTTTGGGGACTGAGGAGGGTGGATTGGTGTTGCTCTTAGTGGTGGCAAGTGCTGCCCCAGACTTTGTGCCCATAGCCAGAGTGCCCACAGGCACCAGGCCACCACAGCTCTCCTTGCTGGTATTTACTTATTTGGAACACTTCATACAAAATGTTAGAGTGACTCTCATAATTAAAATAAAAATAGCTGATAAAATGAAACGTAAGTTCAAATCAGCAGACTGCAAGACAGAGGCATGGGAATCATTGTAATGCTAGGTAAATTTACCTGGAGTCTTTTCCATGTATACGCCATGACAACCTGCATGTATGTTTCCTGATTACTTTTTAAAGTAAGTGTCTCACTCCACCCCAGGAAAGTTTAAGCAAGTATGAACAAACCCGAGAATGATGAGGCCCTGGCACAAATTTCCTGAATTGAAATTCTGGTAGTACAGTTCCTTGCTCTTCTGAATCTATATTTCTTTATTTAAAATATGGATAATTTTGGTGAATCTCTCTATATTCAGAGTTGCTCTGGGATTCACTGAAATGTGATGATCCGCAATCACATTGGAAAGTTTGATGTTCACCAATATGATATCCACTGTAACATAATATCACTTTCACAGCTTAGCGCTTTAATTTGTGAGAGCTCCAAGAGTGTGTGTGTTTGCCTGTGGTTTTGGCTTCTTTTGATGAGCTCCCTAGAGGCTGTATAATAAATAGTGTTACTTACATGGTACAGATTCCCAATAATAGCACATAATCAGGTGAGGAGTGGGGGGCAGCTGCCCTTGCAGTCAAAAGGCGCTTCCTGAATTCCATGTAGCAAATCCCCAGCAGAGCTGCAACTAACTCAGGTTGCTTCCTTTATTTATTTTTTATTTGTACTGATCCAATGGAAACATTCAGAAAGGCAGCAGCTGATAACTATTCAGAGGACTCAGGGAGATGTCTAGGCAAGAAAACCTGGATGCTTTTCTGTGTCACGGGGCTAGAGGGACCAGATCATTCCCAAGTCCCAAACTAGATTTGTAAGTAATATTTTATTACTAATTTTATACAATATGTTTGGAGTTTTACAGAGACCAGGAATACTAACAAAGGAATGGAAAATGTATGGCCCTCCAAATGTTGTTGGAATGTAATTCCCCCCAAAACTCACCATCAGCTATGCTGGCTAAAACTAATGATTAGGAGTAGAATCCAACACCATCTGAAGGACCACATACTCTGCAGATCTGATCTTACAGTTCGAGAAACCCAGAAGATGTGGGCATTTTGCTTCCTTTAATACATATAGTTTGGGAATCTGCATCCCACCACCCACAGGACTGGATTCAGGCCCGGGTCTTGAGACAACCTTTAGCTTTGCACAATAAGTTTATATGTGGGACTCAAGTGGACCGGAAGTAGCTGCTTCCCTACTTTTGCATAGGGTAGGATTAAAATGAAAGATTATGTTTCATAAAGAAAGACTGGATTGGTTTATTTACTTATAGCATGTTTAGGGAGCTCCACAGCTGACAAGCCTCCCAGAGCAGCTTACATAATATTAATAAGAATAATTGTATTATTTAGATCATTGAAAGAGGTGATAATGGTTTCACAGTTCAATTCTTCTTTCTCTGCAGCTCACTCAGGAGCTAATTGTGAAGGTCTCTGTCAGGGAAGCAATGATGACTGTTTGCCTCACTGCCTTTGCTGCTGCTGCTGTTCATAGGACCGCTGAAGCAAAATACTTTGGATAGCAGATTGAAAAGATTTTTCCTGGATGTCATCATCCAACTTGTTGAGGAAAGCAGTGGAAGCATATTTTGTAGTATTCCGTTAATCTTCATTTAATCATTCAGCTTTGTGAAGGTTCTCAAAAGGAGTATGCCTTTTGAGCACAAACTAGCTGCTGCTCAGTTAACATCATAATCATATAAAGTTCAAAATATGCAGCACATCTCTGTGCTCAGAAGTATTTATGCTGTGTAAGTAGAAGCTCCATGTTCCCTCCTCCTGGCCATCTTAGGACTCTGGCCATGCAGTCTATGTAACTCCATCATCATCAATTTTTTTTCTTCTCTGTCCACTGCCATGTGTTTTTATTATAGCTTGCCAGTTGAAGAGAACTTGAGAAGCTTGCCCAAATGTTGCATATACTTGGTTGGTCCTCATAAATATTTTGCCTGATTGTGGGTTTTGGAATTTTAATATTCAACTTATTTTAAAAGCCACAAAGACGTAAATATCATCCCCCACCACAGTTCACCACTACTTCTAAATTCAAATTGAGTTGATTTCTCCCACAGATCAGGGTGATCCAGGGCTCCCATTATTCTTTGCTCCCAAATTTGTGTGGATGGTGCATTTAAAATCATCCTGGAGCAGGATCTGGTTTTTGAGCTTTTCATTCCAGTCGTCTACAATGTATTGATGATAAGGATCATTGGAGTGCTCCTGTCTCTTGGATTTCACAGTGCTCACTAAAATGGCCACAATGATGAAGGAGAACATGCCAATCATCACCATGAGATACAGAATGACATAATCAAAATTTTCAGCATCAACCCTTGCTTGCAATGCATTTTCTTCCTCTGTGGCATTTCTACGCCAGTTGTTCATATAGTCACTCAGTGTCTTCTTGAAAGCATCTTCCAGAACTTGGGTGAAGTTCTGTAAAATGGCCATCTTTTCAATGAACTGTCATGAAAAAGATAAACCAGTCATCTGTGTATGATACTGTCATGGAGTTGCAAATATTGTGCACATTCCTGATTGGTAAAGTTACCATTACATCAAATATTGACTCAACACAAATGAAGAAGAAGAACAAACCACAGAATAATATGTATACTATAAAGGAGGACTGAAGGGGACATAAGGCATGCAGGGATTACCCTTATAGCAAGATTCTGCTTTATGATCAAAACATGATGCAACTTTAATTGGTGGTTCATGGTGGTAAAGGACATGGACCACGAGTTAGTGTCCCTGAATCAGACCTCAATTCACCTCTGGATAGCCTATGGTAAATTGTTGTTACCTGTTTTTGACAGGTAGCCCTTTGTTTCTCCCCCAGCCTCTGTGTTTTAAAAGTGCGACACCCAAATAGAATGCAGTAATAACAACAGAATTCACTCAGGTTTCTCTAATATGTATCATTAGTTGCTGGGGCAGTTCTTCTATCTAGGTGGCTTTAAAACAAGCAAGCAACCCACCAATTTTTCCATGGTCCCATACTGTATCTTGCAAAATATCATTGAGTGTAATTCTAATTTTAAAATACTGAACAGTAAATAATACTAGCAGTTAAGATTTTTTAAAGAATTGGCATGCTATTTCTGATGTAATCCTTCCCTCCCCTGTCTACTTCACATTGGCTCACAATTTACTTTTCAGCTACTGAAATATATAATTCCTTTGAATAACCAGCTTTCAAATACTAAATACCATTTTCATTCATTAAGTTGGGTCCAAACCAAGCCATACTTAGAACAGTTCCACTGAAATCCAGTCTGAGAATCCATGAACTACAGGCAGTATGAAAATATTATTAATAAATAAATGGGACTTAAATTAGTAATTTCAGTGGGTCTGCTGTAAGTACCTTTAAGTCTGACTCCAACTACTTTTAAACCTGTACATTCTAATTTCAAAACACAAAACACCACTCATTTTCACGCCAGTTCTATCCTATCTAGTATTTCTGTTGCTTGCTATTGTATTAAAGAGAGAAAGAGTTTTAAAAAAATAATCAGGAATTGTTATTGGATACTTACCTTCACTGTACTTCTGTATAAAGAAATTTATAGGAATATACATGAACACTATTATGATGAACAGAAGAAGAAAACCATCAGCTCAAAGGAAATTCACCTTATGCTGCTGAATAATTGCCTGGTAGTGATCTGCCTAAATGTATTCTTACATTTAATCTCACTGGGAAGTTAAATATTGGCTGACAGCCAACAGGTAACCTTAATGTTGAGCTTGGGACATAAAATACTTTTTGTACTTGTAAATCATTGTAAAAGGTACAGCCATTTTTTTGCACTCAGTTTTTTTTTACTGAACCTTTATTGCCAGTCAAGCCCATAATAATGGCAAGACCTGAAATTTAAATTGTTGGGTGCTATAGTTTCAAAGAGAAAGGGATAAAATAAAATATAGAAGAGGAGGAGGAGGAGGAGGTGGAAGTGGTGAGGGGAATTCATGGTCATTCTATTGGCATCCAAAACATCCAAACCTTAGTAATATATCCCTTCTTTATTTTCCTACCTAAACCTAATTCTTTCCTCATTCTTTCATTCTTTCCATTGCAGTCACCTGAACTTCAAACAGACCTTGGTATAGGACTGTATTCACACAAGTGCCCTTATAAAACATACAGCCTTAATACCTACAGTTGTGACTCAATAATATAATGCATACAGTTGTGACTCAAATTCTGATTCAGAAACGGAGGAGAACAAGAGACTGGAATTCTCAGCTGACTTGCCAAGGCAAGGAGACCTGAAGATAAGCCGGACAGATACAAGCAGTCTCACGTTCTGTGGGAAAATCCAATGAGGTAGCTGATATGGGAAGAGGCAGACCTAAAATTGTTAGTTCAGCAGTGATCGTACAGAGGTCAAGAGGGCAGGGCAGTTGAGAAATGTCAGGCATTCCAGGCAATTTGTCCATAAGCAGCAGGATCCACCTTAAATGTGGAGTTGGCTCTGCTTGATTTGAAAGGGAGATGTATTCATTCAAGCACGAACTTTGTATCATTAAGCCACATTTCCATAGTGGCCAGTATTCTAACTTTGCTTGTTGCCCTTGTTACTGACTTCTGCAATATTCTTTTGGGCCACAAAGCCAGCATAGCTGGTCAGCTTTAATGTAACAAACAGTTCTTTGCTTTTGTCCTGATCTGCTTGGAAGGAGGGGTAGAAGACTAGCCATAGAAAGGGAACCTGCTTTACCAACCCTGTACCAACCCAAAAAGTTTCCAAATGTCCCCTGACCTTTCGTTTCTTTTGGCAGCTGTCAAAGGGCAAGCTGTCAAGAGAAAACTAGGTGTGAGGGTTCTTTGCTCACAAAAAATGGGCAGTGTGGTTGATATCTCCTTCATGGCACAACCCTCCCCATTTTTCCTCACAGACCTCAGAATAGTACACATTTTGCACTTTTTTCTCCAAGACTATAGGTGCTTGGGATAGTGCAAAAGTGCATCCCAACCCATTTTTCTGGAAGAGAACCGATCAAAACTCAGGGCCCTCAAAGGCAAAGCAGTAGGTGTTTTTTGACTGCACCTTGAGCCGCATATGTCCCAGTCAAACCCACACATGCACACACACCTGCCACACAAAAGTACATGGTGACTCCCTCTGTCAAGATTTGTATCATGACCTCAGGAAAGGTGGAGGTAGCTGGTGGGCAGGCCTGTGGGTGGAGGCAAGAGAGGATGTGAACCTGCTGAACCCACAAGCCTCTCAGTTTGCATGCCAGCCCAGGTAGGAGAGCTAGACAAGCTCCAAGACCTGTCTTGCTCAAATTGCAGAAGCAGAGGATGGAGAGGCTGTCAAAGCCTCTGCTGCTGCCGCTGCTGCCCCACCTGGGCTTAGAACAGACAATGGATTCCAGTCCAGTGGGCACTAGTCATGTAGGACCTCAAACTCAGCAAACTATTGCAGAGATGGAGGGCTACCTGTGACACATTACAGTCTGCTTAGATACATTCCTCCAATTCTGAGGAGGAGGCAGAAGGGCAAAGGTGGGCAGATGACTGTGCAGTTTCAAGGTCATCTTGTGAAGATTCTCAGACAGAATGTAAGAACCAGCCCACCTTGGAAAAGGAGCTAAGGAAGCAATGGGCATAGTGAGCAGACCAGTTACGGAGTATCTGGTGTTCCTGCCAACTATCCTTCAAGCAGCAGGACTCTGAGCGTAGAATCAGAAGCTTTTCTGAAAGGAAGGCAAGAAGGGGAAGTTTCAGCTTGGATTCAGCTCTTTTTATGGATGGATGCTTCTCCCACATCTTAAGGATTATTACTTTCATTATTACTGTAGCGTAACCTGTTCAGTTTCAATAAAAGAATATTTTTTCTAAAGTTTCATCTGAGAATGGCTGAAGAGAAAAAGAGGGAGATACCTACTCAAGACAGCTATTTTGCAGTATACATTCCACTGATTGCAGTACATTTACTTCACAAATGGGACATGGATGGTGCAGCGGGTTAAACCATTGACCTGCTGGGCTGTTGATTGGAAGGTTGGCAGTTCGAATCTGCATGACAGGGTGAGCACCCTCTGCTTTGCCCCAGTGCTTGCCTACCTAGCAATTTGAAAGCATGCAAATGCAAGGAGATAAATAGGTACCACTTCAGTGGGAAAGGTAACAGCTTTGCGTGCGACTTGGCCTTTAGTCATGCCAGCCACATGACCACAGAAACGTCTTCGGACAACTCTGGCTCTTAAGCTTACAAACAGAGATGAGCACCAGAGCTGGACACAACAAGCACACATGTGTGGGGGAGCCTTTACCTTTACTTCACAAAAACCAGAGCTTGGCAATATACTGTGCACTCTCACTCAGAAGGGTACTCTTGCTTACAGGCCAGTAGATTGTACTTATTATAATTTGCACAATTTAAAGCAATGGATTTTATATCCTAGAGATGCAGGTATCAAATACACGTCCAGTCTCAGAAATCTAGTTCAGACTTTCCCTTTGTTCATCGCATGCTGTGCTGTCATGCCATGCTGTTAATGGTTTGTAGTGAACTACCCTGAAAGGAAATAAAATGAAAATGATTTTGCAGGCCCTGTGCTGTCATACCTTGCAATATACCATGTGGTTTCTGTGCATGTTTTTTGCTAAGCTATTTATTTCTTAGTTTTGGTGGGATATATGTCTGTTCTTTCTGTTGTTGGAGGTGGGACAGATACATGTATTTTTGCCTCTTGCATGAGTTTGTGTTCTCTGATCATCACCATTTTTTTCCTTCTGTGAAATGGGTGGCTGGGGCAAGATTGCTTTGTGAGGACAAAATATGTGCCTCCGACCAAAGTTCTGCCCTGTACATAGTTTCTTAGGCAAGATTACTGCTCTTACTGCTGCTTCAGTTTGACTTGATAGATTTCATTCTGTGAAATTGCTATATTGTTCGTGGGGGCCTATGTGGCAATCTCTGCCTTGTATTACTAACTTGGGCAATGTATTTTCATTTTTTATTAACCAAACTCCAAGGACAGCCATGTTCTAACTGGCCATGTTGCTATAGAAGCCATTTTGTGGTGCCTACAACAAATTAGGTTCCTCAAATTTCATAACATGCCCATGAGCCTAAAAATGTTGAGAGGTGCTTTTTTCAAGTGCCTCATATTTAACCGGCAGGAGAAAAAACATTCCCCCTGCACCATGCAGGTTCCTGAATGAAATTCTGGCCACCACACAGCCAGCAATCTCGCTAACAAAAGGAAGGTATGGCCAGACATGGGCAACAGCTTTGACCAACTTTAAGAAGCCCCTCTGGCCTTTTAAAGCTTTTCCTGACCCAACCTCCAAACCACCCACACTGCTTAACATCTCCACAATAAACTCAGTTTCTGGCTCTAGAGGAATGACTTATATACAATCCAGTGATGTAATGTAAAGGCTCTCAACATTTCAGGATTAATCTAAGGTTTAAGCTCAATATTTATTT